TACCATTATTATTAAAACTATTACAATTAAAATATGAGGATTAATTTTGTCCAAAAATCTTCATGCATAATGCTAACTTACTCCAACTAAAAAAACCTATTTGAATAGGTTAGTAAATCCTATATATATCATTTGATATTAATGTGTAATTTTTTTAACAAACTTGTTATATGCAATCAAACTTATACATCTAATGTCTGTGTTTGAGTTAAGACATGATATCAAGTTCACATAGATGATTTATGACATAATTCATTTATTAAATAACTAATTTTTATTTGACTATTACTCTCTAACAGAGTATAATTTTTCCTCCACTTCAATATATAAACAAATCCAATAAACAATAATATCACTTTGTTTTATAATAATGATAGTATAGACTCAAATTCAGAATAAATTTTGTTTGTCAAAGTAAAACCACTATCATAATATATTACCATTATTCTTTACTTCATGTATGAATATCATTTGTATGCTCTTTATCGACACTTTCTTTGTGATCTATTATGTTAAATTCGGTTGTGTAGAGTTTCCTATGGTAATCAATCACGTTGTCTTTCAGTTTCGTTGTAAAAATTATTTTCTTTATTATATTTTTATTGTAAAAATTAAATCTAATTAAATATACAATTAAGAAAGGAAAAAGTAGAATCTATATGATTTAATTTCTTCTCATTTTATTTGATACATTATTTTGTTATTGTGCTTAAAAGCGCAAAATATGAAAAATAATATAATGTTTAACTTGATAACTTTATTGTAATTTATAAATATTTATGCTATAGACATTACTCTGGTTTTTTATTCAAAGTTCATAACAAAGTATTTATTTTTTACTTTTTACTATAACTTATTTTGCAAAATAATTTTCACCTAAAAATTATTACTAAATCAAAGGTCCAAAAAATGATTTAAAATTAAGGAAAAACGGATAGACCGAACCCGCCCAGATAAGCTTGACCCAAATTCAGTTTTAATATACTCAGACCGGTTCGAGCTAAAAAAACTCAAACTCAATATAAAGTACATAATATTGGGTCAGCCCATTTTAGCACATTTACTCTCTACCTTTTGGATGCTTCTATGTATTCTTTCTCGGGTTTTAGTAATTTTTTTCCACTTTTTTTTTTTATGAAAGGCTTAATAACCTACTTAAAGGATAAAATCAGAAAACATTTTTCCCTAAAAACTAGTTAACAGGATTCCACTATAAAAAATTGTTGCAACAAATAAGGGATTACAATCCCACATAAATCTTCTGATCCCCTCCCCTTTTAATTTATTTTCTGAAATTCAAATAGGTTCTATAACCATTTTTATTTTTTATGTTGTATATTTGAAATAATTATATATTTATTTTCTGAAAAAAAATATAATGGCATAATATATTATTCCCACTAAAAATAAAGTTCCAACTTTCAATTAGTTTTATTAATAGTGTATAAGTTATCAAATCAGTGAATATATTGGTATTAATATGATGACATAATAGTATAATAACTTGAGTTTTGTAATTAAATGTATACAAATCAAATTAGATATATTTATATATTATCTTAACATTAAGAAAACTATTAAGGTACTGAATAATATTACTTTGTGAAACAAAATATATGACAATGGTAGATCATAATTAGAATTATAAACAAGAATAATGGTAATGTGTTTGATCCTTTGTTATATTTTGCTAAAAATTAAGTTATTCTTATTAAAATTAAGTTGTTCTAGTAATTCCTTATATAAAATAGATCAATAAAATTAATTTTAACCGATATAATTGCATGACAATCATATTTATTATATCATATGAACTCTCACAATTTAGGATTAATACATAAATGATTTGATTTTCATAACCAATATTAAAACCATGGTTATGAACCAAAAACATGGTTTTAATATAAAAAGAAGTATTGCTTCTAGAAAGAATTAAGTAGAGAGTAATATATATATATATATATATATATCATCTCTAAAGATTTGTGTATAATTAATGTATTATTCATTAATTTATATTAACTTTTTTTAAAAAAATAATTATCATTAAATATGAATAATATATTTTTATATATTGGTTTCTTCAAAAGTTCAGAACTACTTTAATTTTTTAGATTGAGAGGAATCAACTTACTCAAAACTTACTCTACATTTTAGCCATTAATTTTAGGGAAATTCAATTATTTGAATTAATGAGTAGATTTAAACTATTGGATTTCCTTAAAATTTATGATTAAGATGCTTGGAATTAATGGATCCCCTTTTTTAAATTTGATGATATTATGATAGATTTTGATGCCTAGTTGGTGTGCCAGTTACGTGGAATCTAATCTTAAATTAGAAACCGGGTCAACAACTATTTTGATTGCATCTTTACCGTTGAAATTCCACCACCCTTTTATCTCAACCGTCTATCTCGCCCCTTTCCCCCAATATAAGTATCCTTTTGGGTACCGAATTCCATCATTCATGGGAAATAGCGTGATGCACAGTTTTGATTGGCGATTTCTTTTCTTATCTCCCGATTTCGCTTCTCTTATATGTTGAATTGCTTTTGTTTATAGCACTAGAGATTTACATGTTGTGAGATTTACATCAAATATTTTGGGAGTTTTTTATCAATATGTGTAACAGTGCAAGAGGGCCACATCGAATTTTCAACCCCAAGGGATTTGTTAGTTTTCAAGATTTGCGTCAATTTCATGTATTAGTTTTTCTGTTATAGTTCATCTTTGATCTTGAATTGTGAAGCTGTTCTTTTTTGCAGTTAGTCCTTCGGTGTATTAAATTGTGGGTAGCATATATTGCGGTGACCGCCACAACCACAGCCACACTATTGTTTTAGTCACAAAATAATTCATACCGCAACGGCATGGCAACGGCCACAATGCAATGACTAATGTTCTGCATGTTATATCAATGCTCACTGCATAATTTAGTGACCTATAGCATGGATTTAGAACTCTTCAATGAGTTTTGGCGGCTGGGATCCTCTCCAGTACTAGACTCTCCAGTACTGGAATGTGAGGCCCAGATTACTTTAAAGATTAAAAAATATTTTTTAATTAAAAATAACTTAAAATCTATACCATTAAAAAATGTGAAAGGCCATATGTCATCATCCAAACCTGTACTGGACTCTTCAGGAGAGGATTCGTGTTCACTTTTGGCATACTCTCCTTGTTTGAAAGTCTATTCAATTTTTCCATGATTTCCGCATCGGTTTTATAGGGACATCGCTATAATTGGGATTAGTGATGGACATTCTCTTACGACCTAGGTGTTTTTACTCTGAATTTTCTCTACTTTTATTTGGATATGATCATGACCATTCTATGTTGTTCCTCTATGTTGTGTATCAGAAGCGTTTCAGTTAAGACACAGATCTTAGTTGTGGCTATCTGCATCTTTGATTTGCAGCATTTGAGTTAACCCTTTGGTTTCCATGTTTTAATCATTTTTAAATTTCTAAAATCACGAACAGAAAAGACAGGATGAAACAATTTATGTGTGAAATCTGTTTGATTAAATGTTTCATGCACTGCTTTTGGAGATTATACATAGGAGATCAAATAAGCTTTTTTAGCTATCAAACTTTTTCCTTGATTCCCATTCCAAACCTTTTCAATTTGATAAGTATGTATGTTTTGATTTAAGAGAACTTGAGAAGTGTGGTTTATACACTTAATAGTACCACTCTAAAACTTCTTATCTATGTAATAATGCAATTAATTTTTAATTATTTCATTATTGATGAATATATTGATTGATCTAACTTTTATCCCTCCCCTATTTGTTAATCAATTTGTTAATCAATAGTATTCTACATTGGATTGCTTTTGGACATGTTCAAAAGAAGTGGAGCAGGTCATCATCCTGGTAAGTAGTACTGTGTTATCAAACTAATAATTCGGTATTTGTCATGTTAAATCTTTATATTTATTAATGAAGGGTTGTTATATATATATATATATATATATAGATCCATATACTAATTAATAATGTATAATAATAATAATAATAAAAGCCATTATACATGACAAATTCTTCCATAAACCTATTGTATTTGGTGCAGCAAGCAAATAGTGCATTATGAAAAGGTGTTACATTGGGTTACCCGTTGGCCCAAACAAAACGCAGATTATATTATATCCATTATGGAAAATTGGAAAGTGATCAACCAAAGTAGGATTAGAACATAATAATAGATGTCAAGCAAAAAAAGGCAAGCCAAAGACACCTTTCACCTATTTAAATTGTTATTTATATATTAATTAAGAATACATTTAGCACTTATCTGGATCTGACCATGTCTTCTTCTAACATGTCAAGGCACACAATTGTTGGACCCAATTGGAAAGAGGATTTGCCAAGTTATCAGCTATGGAAAAAGAGTCGATGGCATTGCGTGCTTGGTAAAGAAGGTCAGTATTTACATTTCGTGCTCAAGGTTCGAGGGACTAGAGCCCAATGAATGAGGTATACATGTTTCATGCAATTATATATCTATGACACATATCATGAGTTAAAAAATAGGATGTTGGAAAACCCACAACTTCATGAAAACATATACTTCTTCTTCACAACCCCTTTTTACATGTCTTTAATCAACTTAAATTATGAACAAATGTTCATCAATGTAGCCTCATGATTAAAGATCATATTGCTAACCACAATGTAATCTTTTGCAATTATTATTATTGGAGATATTAAAAGAATGCTGAATATAAGGAATATTAAAGTAATAACTCATTTTAGAAATCTAATGAAGTCCGAAACTAATGGACGTTATGATCACATGTAATATTTTCTTCCCTTCTAGTACGGGTGAGATATAAACACGACAAGTCATAAAAGTAGACATATTATACGTCAAGAGTATTACAATTACATCTTACAGGTACTCTTCATTAATAATATTTATATCATATTCAAATACTAAATTCTTTTTATTACATCATAGACAAGTAATTTAACAGGGTCTATTGGTAAATTTGTCCTAATAATATGTCATTAGTATTATGATCAGGACAACTTTTACAATATGTTTGAGAACTATGTCAAAGTTGAGGTAGGAAGGTTGAAGTGAATTTGTCAAAATCAAAATAATACTCGCGCCGAAGTGGGTAATCATTTGATTTTTGTCGAGACTTAACTCATCATTATGTTGGACAACGAACAATATTATTATTATCCTTCATTGATAATCGTCGAGACTTAACTCAGCCTTATGAAGATGGTATGTCCATTGTTCTTATTTATGGAAAACCAAACATCTTCGTTACAATGATCTGTAGATCACTTCTGAACTCCAAGAAAGAGAAGATCGCCCTAACTTGACTACAAGAATATTTCGATCCAAACTTATGCAATTGATGGTTGATGTCATTGATAAATGCGCATTGGGAAATGTTAAGAACAATTTTGATCACGAACTCTGGAGTCTTGTCGGAGTTGTCGGAGTTGTACTGAGCTTGTTTAGGAGGAATGTATCTCCTCTTTAGCGGGACAGTTGCAGGATCAATCTCACCATTATAATATTTATTATATTATCATTATATGTATTATCTTCATGCATACATGTATATTCCAGTCTAAAAAAAGAGGATTGTCACATGTGCATATGCATCTCATATTCGAAAATAATGATAAATTACACAACTCATAAGAATATGATGCAATTGTGGGAGCAAAAATACCACACTGTGAGGAGTCACAATTACGTCATGCAGGATGAAGGATGGATGCTTCAAATTTTCCCCCCCTAAAATACCAAATGCCCTATGTCATAATGAAGGATGGACGCTTCAAAAAAAATTCCCATAAATTTGTTTGCTCAAACATGCGAGGTAGTGATTCTTACCCACAGTACAAAAGACGATGTGGCAAACCTATGACTCTAAATAGAAGTGTGACTATTGATAATTGTTAAGTCTTTCATTACAGCCTTTGGTTGTTGTTGAAGTATGACTCACACTTGAATGTCGAGGTATATAGTAGCATCAAAAACATAAAATATTTATATAAATATGTTTACAAAGAAACAGATCGAGTAGAAATGGAGGTTCAAAGAGAGATAAATGCTGGTGAATTATAACAATATGTTGATGCAAGACGGATTTGAGCATCAGATGCCTTATGGAAAATATAAGGATTTAAAGTTTACCAATTGTGTCATTTAGTTGTAAGATGACAAATCCACTTACCAAATCGCCAACAAGTACAATTTTATGTACATCAAATGATCATTAACATTCATTCTAAATGATGATCATAACTCTAAAATCGTGTTTACACATTTCTTTGTACTAAACCATTTGAAGTTTATGATGGTATTAAAAGTAATTGATGACATTTATGATGATATTAATGATCAATTAACATAAATAGGTTATGTGCAACAACTTCCAAATGATTTTAACACCAACACCAATATGAATGTCATTAGTTGCTTTCAACACCAACACTTTCATGAAGTCCAAATGGTTTAGTGCAAATAATTGTGTAAGGATGATTTTAGAGTTATGATCATCATTTAAATTATCATTGATCATTTAATGAACATAAAACTGTAATTGTTGGAGATCTAGTGAGTGAATTTGTAATATTACAACTAAAGGATACAATTGGTAAACATTAAATCCATATATTTTCCATAAGGCCTATGGTATTCAAATTCATCTTGCATCAACATATTGTTGTATTTCATTAGTATTTATCCCTCTACGAACCTTTATTACTACTTGACCTAGTTCTTTGTAAACATATTTATATAGATATTTTATGTTCTTAATGTTATTACACACCTCGACATTTATGTGACCATCATATTTCAACAACAACCAAGCGTTGTATGCAACACCCCAACAATTATTAATAGTCACACGTTTGTTCAGAGTCAGAAATTTGTCACATCATCATTTGTACTATATAGATAAGAGTCACTACCCTAACGTACTTGAGTTAAAATAAATTTAGCCAATTTTTTTATAGCATCCATCCTTCAAACATGGGCCATTTAGTTTGATCATTCTGCAAGGTCCATTGATCATGCGCTTCAACACCACATGATGTAATTGTGCTTCTTATATATAGTGTGGTATTTCTGCTCTCACAATTGCATCATATTTTTTGGGTTGCATAATTTATTATTGTTTCCAATATAAGAAGTATATGCATATGTGACAATCCTCTTTTCCATTATTCTGTAATGTACATGTAGTTCTTAACATTTCTCAATGCGCTTTTATCAATGATCTTTATCCTCAGTTGCTCAAATTTGGACCAAAATATTATTATTGTCAAGTTAAAGCGATCTTTTGTAGTTTGGAATTCTTTGAGTTCAGAAGTGATTTCACACCAAGATGGATTACAAGTCAATGTAAGGAAGATGTCTAGCTTTCCATCATTAGGATTAATGGCATACAATCTTTATAAGACCGAGTCAAATCTCGAACGACTACCGATGAAGGATGACGATAATACTTTTTGTTGGTCAATGTTTGTTGTAACAAAAAATTACTGTTAATATAGGTAATGTAATTGTAACTATTGTCTAAAACCTATTTTTCAAATAGTTACTTCGATACACTTCAGCACAAATATTATTTTAATTTTGATGAATCCAACTCAACCTTCTTGCTTCAACATTGACGTACTTATCAACAACATATTATTGTAAAAGTTGTCTCTATCGTAACAATAATGATCAATTGTTGGGATGAATCTACAAATAGAAATTATTAAATTATCATGTCTATGAATAAGGTAATAAAAAGAATATGATATACATATTATTAATGAAAGGTATGTGTAGCATGTAACTGTAATACTCTCGACATGTAATACGTCTACCATTATGACTTGTTGTGTTTGTATCCCATTCGTTCGTTCCATGCGGAAAGAGAATAGTATATTGCATGAAAATCATAGTATACAATAGTTTCTAGAATTCTCATTAGATTTCAAACATGAGTTGTTACTTTGATATCCATTTCATTTAGCATTTTTTCAACATCTCCAGTAACAATAATCACAATGACTTGTGAAGTACTTGGAAGATTATATTATGGTTGGTTAACATGGTTCTCTTTAACGATGAGACTACATAAATATTTCTTCGTAATGCAAGTTGCTTATAGATATGTGCAAAAGGATTATGAAGATGAATTATATTTTGTAACTTCGAAATTGTTATCATGAAGTTTTCCGATATCATATTTTGTAACTATGGTCTATGTCATAGATATATTATTGCATAAAATAATGTATATCTCCTTCATTGGGATGTAGTCCACCAATATTGTGATAAATTGAACCTTGACCACGAAAGGTATAGATACCACATGCAATCGCGATTAAGATGTTATCATGATGAACATCGAGTAAACGTAAAGATACGATTGTAACCTGTAATATGTTGCTTAAAATGTCTTTCATATGAAGACTTAAAATTTTGGATGAGGTTGGAGTGGGTAATTGGGATGTGATCATTCTCCCATTATCTCGGAAGTTTCTAGTAGTGTTATATCTTGTTTGGAAGGTGTATCTCCTACTTATACCATGTTTTGGGTACATGGAATGCTACTGATTAAAACTGACCACTTATCTTCCATAATTTAGAGGAATAAATAATTTTAATTAATTAATTAATTATTTATTTATACGAACCTATAACAAGTACATGGGTAGGAAAATATGTAAGACTTCAAAATTGATATTTTTTAAATGATTCAAGGCAAAATATTGTCGCGACCCGATTTTCGGTTGGAAGACCAATCCTGCCACTTAGGGAGACATAAACTCGATTTCTACCTATTCCAAATGATTTGGAGTCGTCACTACATTTTTTGCAGATAAAAAGTAGAAAACTCTCTAATAAGCCCAATCAGGATAATTTGGTCTTTATGCAGAGATTCTGAGCTCGGGAGTCGATTACATATCGGAGAAAGTATTAGCACATCGTCCACCCGTATTAAAACGGTACTCTCGTTAGTAACATGAACTTTTATACCCTTAAAATTTTCTTTAATTAAAATTCAAATAATAAAACGAAATATTTTTATTTTTTATTGTTGTGTCTGACAAGAGTTCATTTTGCTCATACGTGGTGTCAATAGGGAAATCAAGGCTGCATAGTTCTAGTTCGAAAATTAATTAAATTGGTTTGGTTAGTTTTAAAGTATGTCGAAGTGACTAAGTCATACAATAAGGTTTTTTACTAAAATACTTTTGATAAGGAATTAATAGTTTAGAGACGCTGTTGATCATTCACCTTCTTCCCATTTTCGGAGAAGTCAGAGTCAACTCGAACCATAACCTTATTATAAAAATTCCATTAAAAATCGCTTAAGTAATAAGGTAATTTTTATTTAAAACATTTTTTGGTATATGAAATTAATAGTTTAGATACAGTACTGGTCGTTCACCTTCTTCCCATTTTCGGAGAAGTCAAAGTCAACTTTAACCATAACCTTAATACTATAAAATTTCCATTAAAATTTAGTGATAAAATGGTTCATTTAGTTTTATAGATACTTTATGCCAAAACAATTAAAATTTGTTAGATCATGACATTCATAGTTAATTTTAAATCGCATAAAAAGAATTCAATTTGGGTTAATATAGTAAGTACATATTAAAATATTCATCATAAATTCGCAAAGTAACACAATAACAATGCAAAAATGAATAAATATAGTTACCTACAATGTGAGCATCAGAAGCAAGGTCAGGAGCTTGTTTTCCTATACATGTCATACGAATTGAAAATAGAACAGTGCTCTTGCATTTAAAGGTAGAATGTATATGCATTTACCATTTAATATATACATATATTAAACAATATATACTCATACATTTAAAAGCACCTTTCATGTCTATGTCTAGTCCAAGCAAACCCACCAAGAACCTTCTCTTATATAAAATGGCTAATCATCTCAAGTCATCTAATCAAATAGACCAACAAATATAGCACACAACTATATGGCAAATTGTTTATTTTGTTGAAATTTCAATCCTTTGTTTTTGTTCAACAAACCAGCACATGGGACAGGGAGACCAACTCTAAGGTCACGTCCAATATGGACTTGAGTTGGAGCAAACTCTTTATAAGTGTATTTGACAATTGTAAGGGCGGCAAATTGATGAATTTGGATGAAAATGGATAGATGAAAAAGTATCCATCAATCCATATAAATCCATTTAAACCATATTTTAAGTTATTCAATCCATCCATATCCAATGAATTATAATCCATCCAATCAATCCATGACTCCATTTTTAAGGATTTGGATAGATGAATATTCAATCCGTGACTTTACATTTTAAAAAAGTGTTTTTAAAAAAACATTTTTAATTTTTTTTTTTGAAAAACACTTTTAAAAATGTGAACTTTTGAAGATTTTATTTAAAAACTTAAAAAAGTAATAAAATAAAAAATTAACTTTTAAGTTTTTAATGGTAAATCACGTGGTTAAGCTTAAATTTATAGTCTTAAAACCTTTAAGTGATGTTCAGGTTA